CTTGGGGCCCGGTTTGGATGTTCCTAAGCATACAAGACTCTGCCAGTGTGTTCCTCATTTGTTTCAGATTTGGAAATGTACCAAGAGAAGCGGGAACCGGTTTTATTCTTTCTGATCTGGATGGGACCCCTTTCCTTTGCATTCAAGCTCTCTGCATACAGGTGAAACTTGCCAGTGAGAGACTTGGGATTTTTCACAAAATAGAATGTGATAACGACATAATTTGATATGAATATTTGAGGAGCTTTATCTATGGACAATATATACTTTAAACATCCCCCTCCCCAAGCCACACACACAAATTGTTTTTATGAGAACCAATTAATAAATGGTAATTCATTCAGGCATATCTTCACTAAATTACCGTTTCCTTTAATTGCAGGGGAATTTTCCATTACTAAACTCTCCCTTGCTGATTTTTTTTTGCATTATTTATATATTCTTTCAATTTCACTAATAGTGAGGTTGGTATGTGATATTATCTGATGTTTGTACGTCTTAAATTTATTTTTCATTTAAAATATTTCCTCATTCTTGCAGCTCCCCATAATCTGGGAGAAACATCAATAACAGCAGACAAGATTTTATAATAAGTGGTTGAAAAAGGCACTGGCTGAAATCAACCTGATAGGAACGCGTCCTGTGTGATTGTGTTTCTCTCATTCCAGGCGTGCGTGTGTGTGCATGTGTGTATGTGTCTCCTTTGGGTTAATGTGGCAATGCTTTCCTATATCAGTAAGTCACAAGTCGATCTATGAAAAGATTGTGCATACAAAATAGAGATGAGGATCACAGGGGCTTTAATAATGAAATAAATATAAACAACACTCGAATCTCTTTATAAATCCCAGAGCACAATGTGTGTTTTCTTGCTTCCTTTTCATAACCCCAAATAAAGACTTTGACAGCCAGATATCCAAGATCCGGATCTGCCAGCTTCCTAAAATTCTGCCTTTTTAAAAAATGTGTAGAAAAGTAGGGGTATCCCATGGTGGTTAGGGGTTGTTTAGAGACTGTGGTAGAGATTTGGTGTTAACAAAAATGTGTTTTTAAAGCAGGATTTCGATTTTCTTATACTGAATGGCAAAGGTTCCACGCACCTGGCTATCTTCATTTCTGAAATAAATGCTTTCATTTTATTCTCTCCAGCTACCTTCTCCCTTTCTTTCCTCTCCACCCCCATCGCCTCCTTTCAGTGTCTTTCTTTTTCTCTTTATTCTTTCACTCCTTTCTCTCTCACAGCAAAATGTTCTGGAGGATGTGAATGATTAAACTGTTTACTCCAAAGTTTAGGTATGAAAAGGCATGTCACTGTACGTAAAGTTTCACCTTTATACCCAACTCCATCAATAATTACAGAACAAGGATGACTATTAGTAAATCTTGCTTACAATTGGCTCTTACAAAAATGATTTCATTTTTTTCTGGGCATACCAAGGTCGACAGATTTTACTTTTCACAAAAATTATTTACACAGCAGAGGAACCTGCTCCAAAATGAAGGCAACATATAAAGGGCCTTTGAGTGTATCCATAGGAAAATGAATACCTATAAAATGCATCTCGATAAATTAGAGATTTGAGGCCATAAATAGAACCTTTTGACATATTATATTAGTAGATGCCCTCTAATTTGAACCACAGTGTCCCTTAATAATTAAAATTCCATGAGATTGATTTTTTATTTGGTTTCCTTCACTTCCTTTGTCTTCTTCAACAAAATTAGGCAGAGTCCTTTTGGGGGTAGACTGATAACATTAATTAACTTTCCTTCCACCCCCAAAAAGTTCCAAATAAATGCTTCCAATAGACATCAAAAAAGTGTCAATTAGAAATAATTACTTCTTATCAATCAGTGGGGCAATTAAAGTGACAAAGCTTAAAAAGATACTTATCTTAAAACTAATTCACAAGGTAGCTAAATTATCTCCTAATTAACTTGCATTGAGGAGGGTGGGGGGGATAGACCGTCTTGAAACAAAGATGAATTGATGAACCCCAATACCTCTTTATGTTCCTCAAAGCTGCTTCCCTTCCCTGAAACCTTATTTTCAACCCAGGCAGGGAACCTGGGAAGAAAACAGATCCTTTCCAAATGCATTTGTTCCCCTTTCCTCAATTCTAAAACCAAGAGGAAGGAATGGGGCTTTAGATCTCAGATCAGGGAAGTTAGAGACATCGTCCTCTGCCTTGTCTAATTTTACCACTTGAATGAACTATTTTCAGGACCAGTGGGAGTGGGCTGCGACAAGTTATTTAAGACAACTTTTAATGACAGCCTACTTGGTTTTACAAAACTCTTCCTCGCTGCTGCAGTATTGTTCTCACTGGGGCATTTATCATTTCTTCTGCATCTTTGAATTTTTAAAAAAAATGTTTTTGCTTTAGAGAATTTCGTCCCTGATGCAACAAAAATAACGATTTTAAGGAACGTTCAGCCCATCGCTGACCTGGGCACATTAGAATGATTCGCGTTCAACATTCCTTCAGAATAAATCTGTCGGAAAGACAATGTTAAGACTCTCTGCAAGGCAAGACCAGTCAACGACGAGGCGAGAGTGAGCCGTGGCAGGCTGGGCGGCGAAGGCCGCGCACGAAACTTTTCTTGAGCGTCTCGGGTTATTGGGAAGGGTGCGCTCGGCCTCGCTCCCGCGAAAAGCCGTGTCGCTGCCTGCGTCCCGGGCTCTGCTCAAAGAAAACTTAAAGGGGAGCTCTCTAAGCACTGCCGAACTCAGAAATGGAGGTGCCTGGGGAAAAGGGGGAAGCTGCTAAAACCTGAGAGAAAATAGGCTTGTAAAAACAAGAGGTGTCCGCTTATGAATTTAGCTCCAATTATAGACAACAGTGTCAGGTAAACTGATAAGAAAGACGGAGGGCCTCTCCCTCAGGTTTGCCAAAGGCAGGGTTCAGAAAAAAAGCGGGGAGCGCCTTCAACAGTCTGTGCTGTTACAGGCTGTTTTCTTGTTTTATTAGCATTTAAATTAAACTAAAGAAGAAAGTCTCATCCTCCCTTGCCGCGTTGTTTATTTGTTTTGGAAAGAAGGTAGAAGAAGCCCCTCTGTCTTTCTGAAAAGAAGACAGGGGAAAAAATTACCTGGTAGGTCCAGGGGCAGAGGGCTCCCTCCCAAAACCCAAGCGCGATTTGCATCCGAGCTAATGGGAAAGCACGCATCTCATCATTTGGGACTGATACTGATTAAAACTACAGTAAAAATAAATTGTGCCTTTTTTTTCTTTCCATACTCTAGTCCCATTTATTCTAATGAGTACTTCTAGAATGAAAATAAGTAGCCGGAAAAAAAGAAAAAAAAAAAAGCTCATCTGAGGGACGGGGACATCGTCTCATTTCTTGGGCAGTGACAGAGAGTAAGGGTCCAGCCCTGCCCAGTAAATTTGACTTCTGAGAGCATCCACTCCTCCTGCCACCGCCGGAAGGGTCAGGGGAAGGTCAGGAGGAAAGATGGACCTCCAGAGCCGAGCAGAGTGCCACGGACCAGCCTGGCATGGGATCGGGCACCGGGCACTGCATATTCGGCCTCGAGGATGGTCCTGGTGATGTGTGGTATTGTACCACGGTTTGGCTAAAGACTAAGGGGCTAAAACCTGATCCTGACCTTAGAAAGTGGCCTAGGAGCGCTCGTGGTTCCAGGGCGCGGACCGTAAAGAGGTGCCAGGCAGCTCTACTCGGTCCCAGGTCTCGCCAACCTCGCTGAGCAGGGGAATGGCTGCGAGGTCTCTACCCTGAGGCTCCTGAAGGGACCCCGCGCCTTCTGGGGGCAGCCGGACTATTCTGGCCCAGCTCTCTGAGGGGAATGGGGGCAGGGAGGGAGCATTCTGCTGACTTCGTCTGCAGCTCTAGAGAGAACCCAAGTAAAAAATCTTTCGGCGCCCCAGGGGGTTTCCGCTCCCCTCCTAGTCAAGCCTTGGCCCTGGGACTGGAGACTGCGCAGCACAACCCGGGCCCCGCCGTGCGCTTGGCTAAATAGAGATCTCAGCCGCGCTCCGCGCCCGATCCGACCCTCCTTATTATAACAAATGTCCCGTTTGTCGAGCGGGACTTCATATTCGCGGAGAATTCATTCTGAAATATTGATTTCCTCTCACTTCGCCGGCCCAAATCGATAGCGATGCGCCCTGGCCCCATAAATCGCCTTCTCTGCGGCCGGCCAGGCTCCATCCATCACCGCGGGCCGCGCTGCGCCTCCGCCGCTGTCCGCACTCGCTGCGCGCGGGGACGGCTGCACCCACCAGCCCCGACCCTGGAGCTCCTTCCCAGCAAAGACCCTGCCTAGCCCTGACTGGGAAGGGGGAAAACAGGCATCGCGGCCTGGGAGCTCGAGTGTTTTTGAAGGCCCTGTTCCCGGGCGCAGGTGGGGAGGGGGTTTCGACTCCGCGAGCAGCTTAGTCCTCACCAGCCGGACGCCCCGCGCGCGGCTCCCTGCCTGCCCAGTGCTGGGCCAGGAGGAGTCGGAGAGCACCTGAGTGCGCTGCCGGCTCCCAGGCCCGGGACCACCGGCTCTATTCCCTTTAGCTTGAGAGATGCGGGGAGCTCACAGTCCAGCCAGGGGAGTCACTGGGAAGGACTGCGCGCACCCGAGGAAGAGGGCTCAGAGGTCGGGGACGGGGAAACGGCCAGTCCAGCACCGGTGCAGCCCAGGGACAGAGCAAGAAGAATGTCCACCCTAATGCGCCATGCAAGACTGGGAATGGAGCTCAAAGGAAACCCCCTCTAACTCCACAGAGATCCCCTCACCGTTCCGTGTGGTCCCTCGAAACCAAGACCGGGGGAGGGCGGCTCAGCTGGCCGAGTGGAACCCCAGTGCCCGAGAACAGCGAGGCGGCTCCAGCGAAGGGCCAGGCCCCAGGCGCCCCCAGCTGGGTCCCCACGCGGGTGGGTCCCGAGAATCCCGTGCATACGCTCCCGAGATCCAGCGACCCGAGCGCACGCACGGACGCTCAGCTGCGCGGGGGTTGGGGGTCCTGACCACACCGCGTTCTTACCAGATCTGATGGAGTTGTGAGGCATCGCCGGGGAGTCGCTCGCAGCCCGCCGAGGGCTCTGGGCTTACTCACGCAGGTCCGGGCCGCGCCTGCCGCTGCCCTGAACAAACCCAGGAGAAGGGCATGAGATGCGATGAGATTCGATGCCTGCATCCTCAGGCCCCCTCCCCAGGCCTTATCCTTTACAACCTGCATCGTCTGCCAGGAGTAGGAGGATTTTTAGGCGAAGTAGGGCCAACCTCAGCCCTGCCTAGCTAACAGGCTTCCCGGGAGGATCAAGGATTGAGGGTGCGCTGAAGCTCCAGACTCCAACCTGCGTGCCCACTCCCTCCGCTCTCCCAGTCTTATCCCGTTTAACTTGGGAGGGAAAGGGCTGCCAGGCTTCCTGGGACCCTCTCCCTTCTTCCATCTCCCGGTCCTCACTACAGCCAGCTTCCAGCTAACCCCTGGGTGATATACCTGGCCGGCCGGCTGCAGGCCCTCACTGCCTGGGTCCGCCCGCGAGGGTGCCCTGGGCCCCGTGTCTCTCCTCCTTCTGAAGTTTGTTCCCATCCACCCGGCATCGCCAACCGGTTTTATCCCGCTGAGGCCCTGGGAGATGGGTCTGGCGAGGCTCGCAGGCCGCGGATTGGCTGGCTGGGTGCAGGGGGGTGCGGGAAGGGGAGGATTTTGCAAGGGGGACATGGCTGAGTGGACTCAGGAGTTAGAAACATTCGCTGGGAGCTTCTGTTTCCAGCGAAGGGAAGAGGGAGGCAGCTGAGCCCTAACTCAGCAGGCCTGGAAATATTGGAGGAGTGGGGAACCGAGGCCTAGGAGCCTGAGGATGAGGCTCTCTGGGTCCTCCTGGGTCACTGACCACCAGAAGTAAGAGGAATGGTCTCTGTAGGATGCCCTTCTTGCCCCCTGTCACCCCTGGTTTGCTCACCAGGAAGCAGCCTTTTCTTTTGTAAAAGGAAGGAGGGAACTTCTGTTTTATGCCTGATGCTTTAGGTAGAGCCTGCTTTCAGGGCTGTGGGCAAGATGCTATTACCTTCTCACCACAGCTATGACCTCTTCCAGAGAAGAATTCTGAGCAGCACCTGAAGCCATTCCTTCTGTTCTACACAGATAGCGTCCACACCCTTGCATTGTTAGACTAACAACATTGTCACATAACCCATTCCACAGCAACTCCTTGCCTCTCTCCTCTGGAACACACGCAGCCACCTGCCCTCTTTCTTGCTCCTTGAGGATTTTGAACTTGGAAGAAGAGTTCAGGGGAAGGGCATTGAGGGCCTAGACTTCACCTCTGCTTGGAAAGGCCTTAGAAAGGAACAGGAGTGAGCTGACCTCTGGTCTGGTCTGTAGGAATCAACAGCCTCAGCAATATGGCGGCCTGGGTGTGGTTAAGAAAGGGTCTCATTGGTGGGAATGATGGCGGGGCTGGCCAGCCCTGGGACCAAGCAGAGCTGCCTGGTACCTCTTTATCTTAGTGATGGCAAAAGCTGCCCCCTCCTTCCTCATAGTTCTCTCTGTCGGGGAGTCGGGGTGCGTATAAGATTGTGAGTGGGTATGAGTGAGCAAATGTCCTGGAACACTGGCAGGCCTGGGGGTCAAGGCGTGTATGTTCCCCCAATCTTTGACCAGACCTCTGGACTCAGGATTACAGTCTAGAGGACAGCCATGCCCTTTGCAGAGATGGCTCTGCAGGCCTGGTGGGGTTGTTCTGGGACAGGAGGCTACGGAGCCAGTGAGAGGGGACAAGGAAGGGGCAGGGGAAACTGGGATATTCAGGGGGATTGGATGTGTGTGTGTGTGTGCGCATACATGTACATGTGTGTGAAAACACATGAACTATTTTTCTGAATTAAAAAAAAGTTTTGTCTTTCATGTCAATCCACAGCCTCCTTCCACCCAGTCTTTCTCATCTCTCTATTTAGGAGAAATGAATCATCTTATGAAAAGGGAGAGAAGAAGGTGTGTGTCCCTAAATGTTTCCTCCACATTTGCGAAGAGTGGCTCTAAACAAAAATAGTTGGTGCTTCATCGTTTTAAATGTTTCTCTAAAATTGCAATTTTAAATTGCTCTGTGGTTTTCAAAGGTCCAGATCCCCAACTTCTCTGGCAGAAGAAGATTGTCTCCCAGAGAGAGACAATCCAAGGGTGTTGGGATGGAAATGGATCCTGGCATAGGTCCTACGGACCCCATGGGCCAGTTTGCTGCCCTGGCTTGTGTCCTTCTGCTGCAGGGGAGGTGTGGAGTGTGGCAGCCACAGCAGGAACTCTCTCTGTCCACCCAGGATTCCCTCCCACCAGGGAAGCAATGCTCCAGGGTGAATCTGATAGGCCCTCATTTCAAACAGTTCTGACAACCTTAGAGGTTCTACCCAATCTAAGGGTCTGATAGGTACCAATATCCATTGACTCTCAGGCAATCATTCTTGCCTATGCACACCTTTTCTGCCCAAGCAATGAACTCTGTCCCTTTCCCATCCCCTTTTTGGGCAAAATTTCTTAGAGGACAAATCCAGCAAGTTATCAGAACATTCCTGTCCCATTTATAAGCTTATCTTTCAAATTTCATTTTAAGGTAAAAGCAATGTGCACTGTTCAAGGTTACTCCTCAGGCAAAAACACGCTTTACACCTTGACAATACCTCTTCTCCAGACTGCAGGTGACATAGCAGATGATCAGAAGACTCAGCAGAGTTCCAGGACCAGCAAGAAGTGAGAATGCAGTGAACTCCTGCTGCAGGGATAAACACGGGCCTCCTGGACTGGCCCTGCTTCTAATGAGAATCAGAAATCAGGCCTGGGTTCCTTGGTATTTCCTAATTCTCTGAGACCAAGGCCAAGGAAATGTCATTAACTGGTATCTTACCTCCGTCTCTTTGGCATCAGTCTCCTCATCTGCAAAACGAAAGGCTTGAAATACATATATTTTTAAAATCATCTTTTATGACAGTATTTTCTCAAACTTAAAATCCATGAATAAATCATAAGAATAAAAATCATATGACTTTCTTTGATGATATTTGAAATTTTAAAATAAATTTGCACTGTGACTAATAGACTTTCAATGGGACTTTTAGAACTCTTTTTTTTTTTTTTCTTCTAGACATAGTCTCACTCTGTCACCCAGGTTGGAGTGCGGTGGCATGATCTCGGCTCACTGCAACCTCCACCTCCTGGGTTCAAGCGATTCTCCTGCCTCAGCCTCCCAAGTAGCTGGGGCTACAGGTGTGTATCACCATGCCTGGCTAATTTTTTATATTTTTGGTAGAGATGGGGTTTCACCATGTTGGCCAGACTGGTCTCGAACTCCAGACCTCAGGTGATCCACCTGCCTCAGCCTCCCAAAGTGCTGGGATCACAGGCATGAGCCACTGTGCCTGGCCTGACCTTAGAACTCACTTTTAAAAACTAATACCTCATTTGCCACCTTTTCTTCTCAGGCTTGATGCCCATAAGGTTTTCATGGCAGTATTATCAACTGGCAACTAGTTATACTTTTTTTAAACTCAGGGTTTTTTTGAGACAATGTAGTTCATTGCCAATATCAAAATACAGAAGTAGATGCGAGAGTAACTCTGGCTTGCCTTTAAAAATGCAAGAGATCTGGCCACAGATCTGAGTATTTCTTTGTAGAAATGAGCATTCTTTCAGGTTTAACATTCCAACAATCCTAGGTAATTGCCTAACTACAGTGGTTTTTGAATTTGCATAATATTCTGTGATTTGTTTAATTCTATGCTGGTCTGCTGAGCCTTCAAAAGATGCTCTTTGTTTTCTGGACTCAGCTGTAATGCACTAGCCTTGCGGTAGGATGATAAAGTTCTCTGGTTTGCCCTGGACGAAACCAAGAGTGTTGCCTAGATATGAGTTAAAACTGGGACTTTCCTGGGCAAATCAGGATGAATTGGTTATCCCAGCTGATTAGAGTTGGGGAGTGGGATGGTTTGGGGGTCTTTTATAAGCTGCCCTGTTTCAATTGACTATTGAGTGGGTGGTTGATTGCACAGGTGGGTCATTCTACCTGCTGGCTCAGGTGACTGATACCGTTGAACTCCAGTAGGTCCATGAGCTCTTCCTCTTACTCCTATGTACCCTGGTTTTCCTGCACACACTCCCCAGAAGGCCAGCCTCAGGGGAAGACCACTGCCCCCAACAATCCTCCTTGCTTACTTGCCACCATGCCACTTCCCCTACGTAATGAACCATTGTTGCGACTAAAGTGTATCCCTTCAGGAAGAAAACAGCAGCTCTCTACTTTGCATCAGAGGTGAATATTCCAGCCCTAAATGTGTAGAATGGGACCATTTCTTCTGCCTGAACCTCAGTTTCCTATTCTGTATGTTGTGGGTACAGATGGGGAACTGGGGAGGGTCAGACCCACCTCATAGCTTTGTTGTGAGGATGAATAAAATTATGAATGTGAAAGCCCTTTGAAAACTACACCTCTGAACAAAAGTTAATTATTATTAGACAACAAAGGCAGAGAAATACGTCCAAGGAGGGCAAAGTTAAAATGCCTCTAAAATTTTGCTATGGAAGTCGGTTCCTTTAATCCTTTCCCAAATGAGCCTTGGAGAGGAAAGGGCCAGTGAACCCGTGCCTGTGGGTGCAGGCGTGGGTACGGGGGTAGCAGTGGGGCAGGGGTGTCTGTGAGGGAAGCAGTTCACTTTTGTTGACCCAGAGAGGGGGAGAGTCAATGGCAGAAGGCCAGCCCCACAGCAGAACTTCCAGCCGCGACTTCATCATTTTGCAGAGGGCAGGAGTGTTCAGGGCACTGGCAGTTTTCGCTCCACCCTCTCCCCTCACAGACTTGCCCAATCCTTCCATAGCCACATGGGATTTCAACCCTGTCCCCGCACTCAGGAAATGGCCGACAGCCTGCCTTGGGGCCTCCTGGTGGCAGTGCCTGAAAATCAATCATTAATTATTCCAGGTTCTCCACCTCTCTAGGCTTTGAAAACACAGAAATAGAAATATAGGTCCTGGCAGGTGAAAGGAAAAGGGCCACAGGCTGGGCTGCCAAAGGCAGTTTGGAAGAAGCCGCCAGGGGCATTTGTCCAGTTGGTTTGAGTGGGAAATGTGTCCTGGGTACTTGTCCCTTGGGCTCTTTGCCCACCCCACAGCCTTTGGCAGCAGCTGCCTGAGCTTCTGGAAGGAGGCCCTGGTACTTCCGAATGGGTGGAAGAAAAACTTACTGGGGACACAAAAAGGAAGGTGACAGAGGGAGATAAAAGGATCGATGTACACAGCTCAAATTTTTTTCTCTAGTAATCATAGTTTTTTTTTTTTCTCTGCCTTTTTTTTTTTAAGTTACAAAAAATGAGCTAGACCCTTTTGGCTACCCATTTTGCAGATGAGGAAACTGGGTTCTAGGGAAGGTAAGTAAAGAGCAAGGCCACCCAGCTAGCAGATGGCCAACTAGGTGGCCAAATAAAGCACCAGTGACTCAGGCTTTGCCTTAAATATTATAAATTCGACTCACCTCAGCCTAGTTTTTGCTACTCCCCACACCTGCCCCTTCCCCTCAGGAAGGAAGTTTCTGGAACCCAGGGAGTGGCCAGGGTGAGGTCAGACCCCCAA